ATAAATAAAACAAAATAAAATTTATATAACGCTGATCATTCAAAAAACTGACACCAATGGCTGATAATGTTCTTGGCAGGCAGGTTTCTAGTACGTTGTACATGTCCTTTCTTGGGCACAAAGAACACCCTCGATATTTTCTTGTAGGTCCTGTTGCCTGTTCTGGTGTCGTTTAACTAGCGTTCTTTTCATTACCCAATACACCTTATACACCTCGGATAATATTACAAAGGTCTCTGGATATCAACTCTTCTTTCAAGATGATCAAAGCTCAGGGACTTCCACAATTTTATGATGAATTGCCGTCGATTTATTTTCATATTTATTTGTGAAGCTTTTAGCAACACATAGCCATTTGCTCTATATATGTCCATCATTGCACAAAAATTGCCATAGGCCATCGTCTGGTACGTCTCTCGCAGGAATACATTGCAGACTTTTGATCTATCGCATCAACTCCACCTTTAGTGATGTTATACAAGTCTATTATTTCTGGCATAATGTGGTTTTGAGTTATAGATCGATCATGATGCCAGAAGAATCTTAAGAATCTGCGTCCTGTTCAGATTCACTCAAGGCATTATTTTCCTCTATAAAAAGTGGGTTTTCTGGAACTGGTTGGTTAAGGTTGTTCTTACAGTTGTTAGATCAAGAGGTCTGCAATGATGATGATGGAAGTCGCACGAATAGGTCTTCCTCTAGATACTTTAAATAACACAATTTTAACTCTCTTTTCATTATTCTTTCTATCGTATTATCTATAGCTAGTTTTGTGATGCCGTGGATGTATATGTATAATAGTAACAACGACCTTAATATTGTTCTGCTCAATGATTTAAAAATATTAACAGGCAATAATTACAGAATCAGGAAAAAGTCCCTCAGTCAAGGTTTTCACAATTATAAAATACAATAAGCAAAGGTTAATCAATAATACATATTATTGACTTTGTCAAAAATAACTATATTTCCTCTTCCATGTATTAAGTTTGTGTTAACAATAAGCATTTTTCAGTTTTACAATACTACTATAATTAATTTTCCGTGTGGCTGGCAAAGCTTGATATCACTGCAATTATTTAATCATCAATGTTTTACATATAATTAAAGAATGTCATGTTAATTTTTTTCTTTCTGTTGGCAGGAAAATATTAATTATGATAAAGATGCTTCCGTTTTATATTGGTACAGATTCAGAGCAAATTTTGTATACAGTTGAGATGACGCTTCGATTTTCAATATATAAAAAAAACGTACTTCTGTTCAAATTGTCTGCAATAATAATTTGATTGAAACAAATCCAGATTATTTAAACATCTTTAAGACTGCAAATATGGTATTCTGCATTTTTCAAGGATGTCAACTTATTTCGTACAAATAAAATATGTATAACTGGATTTATTTCTTTTACGTAACGACTGATGTAAGTAGGTGCAATTTTGATCATAACATTCGATACATTTTCAACGAATCAGATTGGTATATTTGTTGAAATCAGCAGTTGTTAAATGTCCCACTAAATATTGTTTGCTCAGTTTAATTGTTGTTTTGAAACATTACATCACAATCGGTACAATTACCATAAACATATTTTCTAGAAACCGCAAATTAAAATAAAATTTAAATCTCAAAGTTTTTGTCCTCAAAGACAGTTTCCAAAGAAATATGTATTATATGTCATTAATGCCATTTTTAATTGGAATTGTGATTTGAGGTTTAGTAAAATTAAAAATATGATAAAAGTACGAGAGGCATTCAGCTAAGTAAACTTAAAAAAATATTTTAAAGGTAGCTTAACGTATTTGTGTTAATGAAATGTACACATCATGTTTAGGAATTTTATTACATTCCAAAATCTGCTAATTCCTTAATCACACATTATTACTCCCACTAAAGCATTCCTTAAATATACCACACACGCATAATATTTATTAGAATATTTTGACATTATGTAAAATACACATATGTATAATAGGTTTTACCAACAAAGTTAAATTTCTGAAATTTAGTTTATACACTTACTTTCTAGTTTTTTTTCGTCTTCATATTTTTCACAACTTTAGTTGCATGACATCATAATCATAACTAAATAGATAGGTACGGTACCTATTTGTTCCAGACTTACGTAACCAAAATTTTTTGTTAACAATTTCAGTTAATTGAAAGAAAGCAGCCAAATACCTGTTTGTTTTTTTTAAACAAACATTATGGAAGTTAATAATATAAAGTAGCGTATTTATTAGAAAAGTGTAAAAAACAAATTTGTTTTGTCAATATGGTGAAAGTATGATTGTTACGAATTATTACATTTTTTAAATTCATTGGTTTTAATGCCAATTTTTATAATTTATCTGAAAAGGTTGGAAGATACAGAGGTAGGTAACAGAACAGAGATTGCACTTTATCTGAGCAAAGCGTGCAGTTTTCAATGACTGGGTGACTTTGGTGGGGCAATTATTAATTTAAAATAGAGTACAAAATAACGTAGTGAATGAAGGATGCGAGACATGTCATCCTCATTTTCTTAAATCTGTGACTATACCTTTTGTGACTGCAATGTGTTACGTGCTATATACGATTCAAGTTACTGCTGTAAATAAATTAATTCATAATGTCGTTATTATCTAATTTGCTACATCACAACAAACTTGTCAAATAATTCATATCAGTAATTCGAAAGAGGTCTGTCACCTATAAGAAATGGTGTCACTGCACTATAGTCGATGACCGTCGTCTAAATATATCAAATTTTTGTTTATGAAAGATAAAATTAAAAAATTGTTACGTCAAACAATTTATCGCTGGCGCTATTCGACACTTTATTTTGTGGGTCTTCTATGGCTTATATGTATTTCTGCTTCCACATATTTGTTTAAACACCTAATAAAACATAACTGAACATGAAGATTCAGGTAAGCGAATCTAAATTCAGTTGGAGAATTCTAAAATAGGTGGGTGGGTAATTGTCCAAAAAGCAAGAATAATGCCTATTTCAGATTATGTGCTTGTTTTCAATGGAACTGAATACTGTGTCTTCTATGAAAACATACATTAAAAGTAATTGAGCTAATCTGATAGTTTTTTAACAAACGGAATGATAAATGGCGGATTTCGTAGTAATTCATTTTGTTTCGTAAACGTTTCGTCCTTAAATTACAGACACATGGAAGGTCAATAATTAGATATGTAAATAGCAATATAACTGAGCTCTTTTACACAATTTTCGTTTTAATTCTACTCTAATAATTTCCTGCTTCCTCATTCTTACAGACGCGGACGTAACAATAATTGATCCTGGTGGGCACTTGAAAATTAAATTTGCTGGGAAATATTCTTGTGAGGGAATGTACAAACATAGAGAGAGCATGTTGACTATAATATAGTATAACTACAAGTAGTATATCGTTAAACTTTGGTCTATGTTCCTTTTTCGATTTTAGTATAAGCTTCAAAAAGTACATTGTACTTCAAATGTGTGCTGAATAGCCCCGAAAATTGTTTGCAATGATGTTTTTTAGTAGTAGTTAGTTAGTTTAAGTGAAATATAACTTATAATGAGAAACTCTGGTCAGATTCTTAACAATGCATTGTTTCATATACAGTGGGAAAACATTTGCAGAATAAAGACGTGTGTGGGGAGTTGATTTTGAACTCTAATCTAATTGATATTTACTCAGGTTTCATTTCTTATTATTACCTAAATGTTTATTTATAACTTTTAACTTATGATCAACTCTTTCAAAGGTTTTTGGACTAGGAAAAGTTAAATAAACCAAATACATGAAACAATTATGTGAAACAATACAAACTATAGACATTGCTGTTCATTTCACGAATTGATTTAGCTCGAAAACACTTTATTTTTTTTAACTCAGAGAGTATCAGAATGAAATACTTTCAATCTGGAAGCATAACATTCGACAACATTTTGAAAAATATGTATGGCCTAGTACTTCCGTTTCTGGATAGGTATATAATAAAATACCGGTTCTAATATCAAATTATGTAGACCTATTATCTCTAATATGTACAACATGCAAAAATTTTATAAAGATGTGTATATATCATAGACCTTAATAAATATCTAGGGTACATATTTTCAGAAGTATTTCACATACTACTAGATTGGGATTGGACGTCACATCCTGTATATTCATCAATCTCTAATAAAGTTACATTATATGTCGTAAACTTAATAATTATTAATTTATTATATTACAATTCCTAAAACGAAATAAGTATCAATTGTCACGTTTCTTTTGTCCAACTGAGCATTATGCCAGTTTTTCCAAATTAAGAACTACCTGTGATGAATGATGAATGTTGCGAGTTGCGAGTGATTTCACAATAGATAAAATACATGAGCAGGAATGACTAAATTTAAAAATGAACGTTTCTATTACTATACTCATAAGTGTCTAGTACTTAAAGATAATTATCTTTTAAAAAGTATGACATGTGATTTTTAATGAAAATGTCTGTAATTTTTTTTGATATTTGGCTTGATAAAAAAATAAACCCTCCAGAACATATTGTTATTAGAAAAGTACGTTTATATTATATATTAATAATTACTTCATAGTTTTTATATTTTCATGGATTTTAGATTCCAGATGAAAATAATTATTGTGTTTGTATCGACTTCTTATTACCTACCCATATTTTTGTATTTCATATAGGTAATGGTTACAATAACTGACGAAAGTGTAAATATGAATTTTTAATATTTAAAATATTGCCACAAACACTGTTTTACATGATTTTGTTTGCGATGAACATTTTTTCTTTTTATTTGAACATTTTTTGACATTGCAAAAAAACAATCTCTTACTGCTTAAAATATTGTGCTACCAGATTATTCGCAACTAACATTACACGGAACGCACATTGTAAGTTGCCTGAACCAACAATATTATTTGTGTCTCACTTCTTTCTACAGTAACCACATTTTGCACCTCTCTCATTTCCCTCAGTGTTTTCATACCAAGATTGGCGCTCCATATTCCAAATAAAAACAATATTTAAATATATCTGTTTTCGGATTGTACAAAAACTTAAAAAAAAAGTGAATTCAACTTATATACAAATATGAGCCGCAGAAAGAAAGTCAAGGTACGGATATGAATTAAATATTTTCCCTGTTAAAATATGTAACTTATTGTTTAAAAACTAAATGTTAGGTTATTTTTTTCCTAAAAATTTTCATTTTAGATTGAATATAAGGAAATGGAAGAAAAATATAATAACATTGAGGAGGATAATTTAGCAGATAGTACAGATAAACATAAAAATCAGCAGAACGAGAAAAAGCTTAATATTGGTGCAGGTACTTCGAAGGTAACCAAGAAGGAATCCAAGAGGGAAGACATAAAGAAAGAGGATGAAAAGAAGAAAGAAGACCCAGAGTCAGAGTTAGACGATCCCGTAATAAAAGATCTATTCTCGGGCCTAGAAGGAGCAGCCTTCCAAAGCAGAATGCCTTTTGACAAAATGACATCCACTGAAGCCGCTTGTTTCCCAGATATCGCCAATGCTGCACTGCAAACTGTCAAAGTGTACCTAAACATTAGAAACCGCATATTGCAGATGTGGCTAGAAAATCCCAAACAGCAATTAATTCTGGAGCATGCAATCGATAAAATGGAAGCACCGTATAACAGCGACATTCACCTCTTAAAACGAGTGCACGCATTTTTAGAAAGAAACGGTTTTATAAACTATGGAATCTTTAAGCGACTCAAACCTATACCAGCCAAGAAATACGGTAAAGTTATAGTTATAGGAGCAGGAATCGCTGGTCTAGCAGCGGCCCAGCAACTACAACAGTTTGGGCTGGAAGTTATCGTCCTAGAAGCCAGGGACAGAGTAGGTGGAAGGATAGCAACGTTTAGAAAAGGTAATGGACTGAATAAATTTATATCTAATAAATCAAGTTGTCTCTGCATTGGCTTAAAACAATATTTGACAAATCAAGTAGGTATTGTCTCCTAATATTTCATGTTTCAATCAAGTTGCTAGCAGGTTGAGTTTCACCAAAAAAACAGTTGAATTTATTTATTAAGAAACAGTCTAGCTTCTACTGTGTTGCTCGAATTATTACAAATTTTTTTATTTGTTGTGTTACTATGGAAAGAAATTTGTAACGATTCAGTATTATTTTAAATAAAATTTTTCTGTACTTTTCTGTAACATTTTTTCCTGGATTTATAAAAATTAAAATAGAACTGGATATGAATTCAAAAGTACTCTATTGATAAGTACCTACGCACTGTTGAAAAAAATGTTTATGATTATTGAAATTCTGAATACAACATTCACAGGGCACTCGAATCCACTTAGGAGTTTTGTCTGTGATGTTAGATATATTTTGCATACCAGGTGCCTATTTTTTGAAAGTACTTTTCAACTTCAATCTTTCACTTTTCATTTTACAAATATAGAAAAGTGAAGAATAAAAAAATGTACTTACTTTACATAAATGTTATGCATTTTAAGAAGTTTCAGCTATTCATTTTCACTACAGATTACCAACTGTTTTTTAAATATTAATTTTGAAAACAGGAAATAGCCAGAAAAGTGAAAAGTTAAAAAGTACTTACAAAAAATATTGGTATCGAAGAACTTGTGTGACTTTATTTGATAATATTGTTTTGAGAGAGAAACCACTGGCTAAAATGTGTACACTAAAATACTCAGTTTCATAATTAATTACTCAAGTATTACTCAAATATTCAAATCTCAAAGTGGCCGAAAAAATTAACTTTTATTTTTTTTTTCACGAAAACGGTTAAACTTAAAAATTAGAATTTTGGTACATGTTAACATGGTATTTTTTTGGTAGTCTTTTTTTCTGATTTATGTCTGAATGAAAGAAATTAGCACCCTTTGATTTTATTTCTCTCACAACTTTTTTCTGCATTAGTCAATTCCAACAAGAAAAATAGCTTTTAATACTACATTTCAATTAGAAACTTATTTACTCGTCCCATTTTTTCATATAATTAAGGGTTTACGAGCAAAAAAAATAAATGACTTCTTTGCTGATTAGATACACATAATTAGTATAACAGACCAAAGATGATGATGATTTGACATGCTTTTTGCAAAAATTTCTTGTTATCAATAGGAAAAACTAGCAAATATGAACTAAAAATTTAATAAAAAAAATAAAAGCTAATTTTTTCTGCCATTTTGAGATTTGAATATTTTCTCGGGGGCTCAAATCGAAAAAATGTAAAATTACTTTTCAAACACCTTAAAATATGTGCACATCATTATGAAACACCCTGTATATGCGACATAAATAATATTTAAATATTATTCAAAGCTTGTACACTACATTATTCCTTGCAGTTTTCCCCTTGAACTCTGTAGAAAAAAAAAAAAAAATTTATTTGATCAACTTAAAATGCGTAAAAGACTAAGTCATGTTATCACTCACTATTTATTATAAAATCAATGAGAATATGCAGAAAAATATTTTATATGCATTAAAATAAGCAGATAATACCTCAAACCATTAAATTTTACAGAAAAAAAGATACTTTGCCTTTTCTACAAACAGTATTGACCTGAATTTTCAAAGTATGAAAATGTCTCTCCGTCCTTTAACGTAACTTGTATCACAAACATTTATCTCACTAAAAAAAAAATGAATTTAATTACAAAATATTGTCAAATAAAAGTATTCAATTCTTGAATAGGTACTGATTGCACAAATGTTCTATTGAATACTGCTCATTCTGCAAGTGATACCTGGCACTGATGGTGAAAAATATGCAACTATTTATTTATTCCAGGAAACTACGTAGCAGATCTAGGCGCTATGGTAGTTACAGGCCTTGGAGGTAATCCTGTAACGACCCTCAGTAAGCAAATCGACATGGAACTACACAGAATCCGCCAGAAATGCCCGTTGTATCAGTCCACGGGTGTGACCGTGGACAAAGATAAAGATGAGATGGTCGAACGTGAATTTAACAGACTTTTGGAAGCAACTTCGTATTTATCGCACCAGCTAGACTTCAACTATGCAGGAAACAAGCCTGTCAGCTTAGGCCAGGCTCTGGAATGGGTGATTAAATTACAGGAAAAACACGTCAAAGAAAAGCAGATCCAGCACTTGAAATCCGTGATAGCCCTGCAGGAGAAATTGAAAACAAATCAGAAAATGCTCATCAACGTAAAAGAACAGATGCAAGAGATCAATGCCAAAGTAAAAGAGATGGCAGTTATCGAGAAACGTGACATCCAAGAAGAATTTGTGTATCGCAGCGGTATAAAAGATTTGAATACTCTGGCGAGCGAGTGGGACCAGCTGCAGGAGCAAGCGAAGGAGATCGAGGGGAAATTGCAGGAGTTAGAAAACTCTAGACCGAGGTAAAAATTATTTTCTGTCTTTCATTATTTCAGTGTGAGTAATTAATCAATCAACTTTCTATATTTATCTGTTATGATCTTTGTAGAATATATTTGAAGTTTTTTTTTTATTGAGAGATAGTCCTTGGTATAGAAGGTTCAGTGGTAAATTAATTTAATTAAATTCTGAAATCCAAATTTTTTCAGTTATTGTTTTAATTATGATTTGATTGCATCCGTTGAAACTACTAAGGAACTTTGACATATCTTCTTTTTTATCATTTCAAAATTACAAAAGTGCTGAGTGGACATGCCGAAGTTAAACTTTGTAATCCTGACATTTTAAGTAAAAATTTTACTGACTCGAATGATACTTTCGATAAGGTGTTTTATTTTCAATCATTGTGTTAAAGATCGTGATTATATTAGTTTTGAAAAAAAATGGAGAATTGAAAAATAACTTTGTTTTTTCCGTTTCTGTCTAGAGAATAAAATTAGCAAAAATGGAAAAATTTAAGAAAATCAAAAGAAAAACTTGAAAAAATATTGCCTGTAATTGTATATTTGTGGCATTATCAGTTACTTTTTATTTTGTTATTATACAGGGTGTTTCTAAATAAGACCGAAATATTTTAGGGGGTGGTTGCCGAAGTTATATTGTGAAAAAAAGTTCATATGAACGTACATCGAAATATGCTTCATTTCCGAGATACAGTGTTTAAGTTTTAATTTTTTATTAATTATTTCACAGAGTTTTAAAGATATTGACTCGAAATTTGATGGTTGTATTTTAGTTAGAAATATTGACAGCAACCTACTAGATAATGATTGTATCAATAGAAGTTAAAAATACACAACTTGCAATAAAATGTTTTATTTTTTTTCTCAAAGACAGTGCATTCTACGAAAAAAGAAGAAGAGACCAATTTAATTCAGAATTGATGGCGGATTTCTAAAAATATATCAAAACGGAAGAAGTCAGTGGTGTACCATTTTTTTTATTAAAAAAGTTTGTGGCATTCTCGAACGAACGCCACTGGTGCAAGTAGAAATATTCGGATCACCCAAAAAATGCACATTTATCTCTCCAAAGCATTTTTCAAATTTCGAGTCGATATTTTTAAAACAATTAAAAAAAAATAAATTTTAAAAATTTAAATTTAAACACTGTATCTCAGAAACGAAGCATATTTCGACCTATCTTATTTATATGAACTTTTTTTCACAAAATAACTTCGGCAATGACTCCCTAAAATGTTTAGCACTTATTTACAAACACCCTGTATAATGAGCACTTTTTGATCTGGAATCGGTTGGCTTATTGACTAGTTTTTTTTTTAGTAAATTTCATGGTTATGGAGCTACATATTTTTTTAAATGATAACCTTTACATTGTTTGTCTGATTTCTAATGGTGTGTAATAAATTACAGTTATTTTAACAAATATGAGAACTATAGGGCATATTTGTTAAAAATGAGATAAAATTTTAATTTTTGATACAAATTATTGACTGATAATAACTTGTTCTTACATAGATGGCCGTAACCTTAATTAGAAACTGTCTTTCTTGTAAAAGGTATTAATAGGGATTGAATGTGACTATGAAACTGAGAAGAAAGAAAAATATTTCTTCAAAAATTAAAAAAAATAGTTTTATGGTATTTGTGGCAGTTATCTAACAGTATATTACTGTAGCCAATTTTTTTCCTGGAATTTAAAAACACCTTATTTTATACAGGGTGTCTCGCTTAAATGTGACACAAGCCTGTAGCTTCTTTATTTTTTGACCGATTAAAAAAAAATATATTTCTGAATGTAGGATAAAAAAAACTCTATCTAACAGTAATGCTGCTGTTTTTATTGAAGCAATTCACGGCCAACTAGGACGTGTTTTTTTGACGTCAAAACAGCTAATTGGTATTAGCGATTTTTTTTCCAAAAAGCATTACGTATTTTCATTCAGCATTCTTTAAAATGTCTTATCACCAAGTTTCATCAAATCTGATACATCTTCAGACAAGCACAAGTTGGCCGTGTATTGCATTAATAAAAAACAGCAGTATCACAGTTTTTACCCTATATCCCGTAAAAAAAATGTGAAATTGACTAAAAAACTAAAGAAGTTAAAGGCTTGTTTTACATTTCGCAACATCATGGAATGCTTGCATGAAGATGTAGCGAATTTGACGAAACTTGACAGTAAGGGATGCTGAATGAGAATACATAGGTAATCTGTTTTTTTGGAAAAAAATCGTTAATACCAATCAGCTGTTTTGATGTAAAGAAAACACGTTCTAGTTGGCCGTGAATTGCAATAATAAAAACAGCAATATCACAGGTTTTTTTTAGCCCACAATCCAAAATAAAAATTTTTGAAATCGGCCAAAAAATAAAGAAGTTACAGGCTTTTATCATATTTAAGTGCGACACTCTGTATAAAACACCATGTATTTTCTCCATCTCTCTAGATAAAATTATGATTCCTGTCAAAAATTCTAACAGAATTACCGGCAGATGTTTTCCAAAATGTCACAAAAATTAATATTGTCCCATAATTTGAAAATGAAGATATCAAATCAGGTATCTGATTTGATAGATTAAATCGTCTTGAAAATGGAGCTTGACAACATATTTCGTAATTTTTGAGATACTTACCTTGAATTCCAATAGAATTTGACTACAAAATTAATAGACAAAACTGTTAAAAGTGAAAAAAATAATACTAGTTTTTTTTATAATTATTAATTTTTTAATTAAAAATGAACAAATGTATAAACTTTGCAATTATACGACATCATAAATAACACAATACAGAAGAGAAATGGCAACTTAAAAAAAAGTCAACATTCTCCAGGGAGTGTATTGTGAGTTCATTTTCATATAGTCATATATTCACACTGAAGGATTATTCATCAAAAGAAGTGGATAATGTGTAGGCCAGAAATGATTAAGGAGACACCACAACACTCATTTGAATGAAGTGTTTTATAGTTGCATTACATTGTTCTCAAACAAAATGGGAAAGATTCCTGTAAAAATTTAGGGAATCATATTTGTTATAAATTTATTGACACACAAGGCACACAATCTGTCAAATCTTTAATATTTTTGTGAAAACTGCAATAAATAACAAAGTTGTTGATTAAAAATTGTGAAAAAGCTGTGTGACATTTGCCAATTTCCTTAATGTTTAGTAGTTTTTCCATAATAATGCGCATATTTGAATGAGTAGTTACTAATTATCTTTTTGTCAAATTTTTCCTTTTTAAAATTCTAATTTTCGCTTCAAATGATTTCATTTCATTGTTATCATCTGAGCAGATGCAAGTAAAATACTGACACCTCTTTAGAAATTTCTAATACTAATTGTACAATTACCATAATGCTGTATAATTGCTGTGAGGGAACGGTTGGAAGAAAGTGTTGTCGGCAACTTTAAAGCAAAATCACACTTGGGAAGGGTTTGACACAAATGAATTAAAAATTAGAAGAGAAGGTATGGAATGAAGCTTATTTCTGTTATTACTTGATAATTACCATAAGGAGTGCCCTTGCATTTCATTTTGTCGCATTCTAATTTGTACATTGTTAATGATAATATGACCAAGCTTTAATAAGGGTGTGTGTGGAATATAAGTGTTGCATGTTATAGGATACACTGTTAATAAAAAAAATGGATCTCATTTCTGGAGGCAGTGCTTCATATACATATTAATAAAGAATGTTAGGTAATTTTTAGTGACCCCCAAAAAACCGGAGGGCAGTCCAAAAAATCTAAGTGAGTACATATTAAAAAAAAGTATGTCAAGCTGTTAATCACAGGTACCACTGAGTAAATGAAGCTCTATTGGATCAGTCAGAGAAAAGTTTCATTATACACCGCTAGAGGGCACTTTACTAGCTAGAACTCAAAATTTGTTTTGTACATAACTTCTTTCTCTTGCTAAGCATCACAGAAATTTAAACATTGTTGAAAAGAGAAACAATATCAGAAAAAATTATGATTTATGGCTTAGTTTAAGAGATATTGTAACTTCTCATAAAATTTTTGCCAAAATTAAAGTCAAAAAATATATTTTGACTTTAATTTTGGCAAAAATTTTATTGAATGCTTTCATAATTTACTTAATTTGAAACATTTAAATAACTTAATATTTTATTTATTCAAATATTAGAACACAACAAATATAAGAAAATGACTAAAAATTTGTACCTGATATGTTGAAACAAATAAAAACCTAAATTAGAACGAACTAACAAATATTAAATGTTACGGTGTATTAAATATAGTTAGAAAACATAGTGGTGAGTACTAAGAACAAAAAATAATTGGGAACCTGCACAGGAAAAAGTTCGTGCTTCGATTATTTTGACCAAAACTATGAGTCTTGATAACTAAATGTTTGGACGACATATTAATTATTATTAATGAGATCAAGAATTGTCCTTTGGGGGTTGTTCCATAACGATGGTACCATAATGTTTCGATGACATTTAGGTCAGGGCTGCTTGACGGCAATACTTACAAAAAAAGGTTGTTAAATGGATGCGCTAATGTAGAATATTTTTATTTTAAGGTTCTGTGGCATTATTAACTGTTATTGTCTAAGTTACAGACAATCTAAATATTTAGTTATTAGGCCTCATATAGAAAATATGTACTGGCATAGGGTAAAAGTCCATGCAAAATTTTACATTAAATATGTAATTAATTGTAACACCCTGTATATTTATTTAACAACAAATTAAGGTATGTCGTGCCGTGTTGAAAACATACAAATGTTTTCTTTTCAGTGATGTGTATTTATCTTCGAAGGATCGTCAAATATTGGACTGGCACTTTGCAAATCTGGAATTTGCTAATGCTACACCATTGTCTAACCTGTCTTTGAAACATTGGGACCAGGATGATGACTTTGAGTTCACCGGAAATCATCTAACAGGTAGGATTTTTGCCTGTTTTTTTGCATGTTTGTTTATGATACATTTTTTCAATTTCACAGCTATGCAAATTTAATTTTATTCAAAATGTGTCAAATAATGGTCAGACATACATTGTTTTAATTGAACTCGGCAAGAAATTTTAAAATGTAATATGCACATATTACGAGGGTGTACATTCAAAATAAGTAAGGACAGTGGCACCATCCAAAAACTAAATAACAAGTAAACAAGAAATATTTTTTACATGAATTGTTTTAATTTATGAAAAAATAACTTATTTAGTCTAAATGCATTCTTTCTCTTAATAGCAGAAAGTGTGTCTTAGAGTATGCAACCCACTATACAATGAAACAAATGAACTCACTTTTACATGGCTATGTATGATTAATTGGTCACTATGATTAATGTTTGCTTACTACACATAATGACTAGAGAATCGGTGCAAATTGATCATTTAGGAACCTAGCATTTGTATGTAGACTGTAGATGTAACTTTTTAACATAGTACCCGAAGTACAGAAATGTCAACTTGCTTATCTTTTTTGTAGGTGACCTTACAACTTCAGCTTTTATTTTATCTTAAAAGTGAGAAAGTTTTTCTCTTGAAAATTTTTGCATTGTACAGATTCCTCGTAATAAATAATTTATTTATTGTCAACACATTTTTCATATAATTTGATGATTTATTAGCCATCAGAATTTAGATTTATTTCATAATAAAAATGAAATAATGATTCATAGAGTACATAAATTTTTAATCGAATATTATTCCATGCGAATGGGAGTAACTGTAATTTTTAATAACATGTAAGTAATGCTATTTAAAATAATAATCTTCGTGATTATTTTCATTCCCATTAAATTGGGTGAGTTCCATGAGGAACTAGATACATGAAACTGTAGAATGAGGAAAATCTGAAATTAATGCATCAATTTTTTTTTTAACTAATTATGTGTTACTGAAAATAATAAAATCTTTATTGCATAAAATAAAAATGGTGACTATTTTCAATAGAAAATTCATGAAATCCATTAACAAACTTCTTAACTTTGTTTCGTTTTTATTGTCAAATAAATCAATTACCCTGATCAGATTTGTTTTGAAAATGTGTTGGTGATAACAAATAATAAATTGATTGTTAAGTTAAAATGACAATTGAAGTTGCCAGAAATAAGCACATTTGGGAGTATTTTTTTCAGTTTGTTCATTTACTTCGGTTCCTGCATAAAAAAGTGATACAGCAAGTATCAAATTTCTTTTAAATTGAATAAAGTGTTTTAGAGTTATTCGAAAAATTTAAATTGTTTTGCCGTAAATTTAATTAAAACACCATGTTTTTGTATCTATTTATCAGATTGATCAAGCAATAATTATAATGCTTGGACATTATGCACAATGAATAGAGCAGTTGGACAAATTTATAAATGTTTGTAAATTTTAGGAAAAAGTTGCATTACAGTCATTGAGATCAATTTCATCAGATTTCAGATTTTTTTTAGTTTTCGAGATATTTTGAGAGAACCGATTATTTTATTATTTTTTTTTATTAGAATTACACATCAAAAGAGCTATTTTCTGGGGTACTTTTTATAATGAATTATCTTACGGAAATGTTTCGGTTTCTGATATTTAATTTTTTTCATTTACCATCATCTCATCACCTACATTTTTTTAAGTGCAATGTACATATGGAATATATATTTTTGATATATTTCTATTTTTATAGTCCCTGATATACAGGGTGTAAGAAGTTTGACTGCCATTACTTCAGCATAAGATAGAGTAATCACAAAAGAACACAAAAGTTGTATATTACAGGGGCGTAAGATTAACAATTTTCAAAATACAGCGAGTATTATTATGGGGGAGTTTCATCACAACGTGACAACAGCGCTTAACTTGCTGATGCATACCACGTGTACACGCGACAGACTTGTCCTACGGCAAAAATGTAAACAGCTATTATTGTGAAACATTTAGTAAATTTCAGTTTAAATTTTAGCTCGAATTTTAGTTTAGTTTAGATGAATCTGTTAAAACAGGAACTTTTAATCAAATTAGACATTTGAAAAATATGTAATTAAATTACCCAAAGATTCACGTCGTCTAAACAATCATACGTATTAAAAATAATTTAGGTACGTACTTACCAAACAGAAAAATTCAGTAATTTTTAAACGCACAAGTACAAAACAAACTACAACATATGCTCAAAATGTCCACTACCTTTTTCGATGCACGCACGACACCTTCCAATCCAATTTTCGCGCACTCGCTAGAAAACACCTCAAGAAAAGGAAATAGTGGTACGCAAAAAACACTCCGACACGGTCGAATCCAGATACCAACTGAATTGGGTATTTAATTATTTTTTTTTTAAATACAATTACTTTCTAAAGCCAAAGACAGCAAAAAATGGATTTCAACATATTTTGGTTATTAATCCAGAAAGATTAAAATTAAATTAATAAACTAATCAAAAACACTATTATCTGAATGATATACTTAAATGATTCAAATACCTTGAACCTTCTTTGACGTCAGAAAGTTTATTTTTTTCAATAAAGAATTTAAAAATACTTAAATAATTCAAAAGGCAACTAATTATGGCCGAAATGGATCTGAAACGTAATTAAACCACTACAGCATCCGTCAGAAACCGCAGAATTGAAAATGTTTATTATAAAAAAAATGAAATTGATTATTACATCGAAAACGAAACAAGTGCGACAAAATGGCATTGAGTCCTCACCATTTTCAACATCGCTATCATTCGTAACAGATCTTTATTTTGGTTACTGTGTATATTACAATTAAAATTGATATTACTAATCTTAAGGTGACAGTGGCGTACTCAAACATATTTTTCACGGGGGTCGAATTCGAATAGTGTGTACAAATAGCAGCTTCTATGTTCTTATCAATTAATATATTTATACAAAATATTTTCTCAAATAAAAGGGAATACATGGCTCCTTGGCGGCTTTCTGGACAGATATAAAAGTTTGTAATGATTTTATACTGGTCAAGATTATTTTTCATTAAAAGAGTTAAAAATTAAATTCACCTGATCATGATAATTTTTGTTGAACTAATAAAATAAGACCTAGTGAACAAATTTTATATTTTCCAACCTAACTCCATAAAATTAATCCTAAAGTTTATTTACATTTGACAGTTTGATAAGAGTTCTGTATTATTTTTTTTGTTAACAAATGCATCTGTATTTGATGGAGTTGGAGCAAGTCAGATAGACATAACGGCAAACTGTGTAACCCAATATTCGAAACGGAATAACAAGCATTTATTTTATTTTGTGTGGCGAGCCGTTCCGCAGAATTCCTCTTGCTGGCGATCAAATAAATTAATGCTTATTGCTAACCAGACCAGTTAGACGAAAATGATGGGGGAATCGCAGGTACCAGAACAAATTTCTGGACCTAAATCAAAACTACAACGTAATTACTGGTTGCTCGGCCTTTGTATCGGGGCTGATAAGTTGCATGTTGCGTCCGTCCGTCGAAGAATTTGGCAAGTGGTAAGCTGGTCACGGTAACGTCTCGCGCGGTGCATGCATTTCCAGTGGCGTACCGATCGGGCGGCAAAGGCAATTTTAATGTATTTGATTTGATGTTCATGCTAGTTTTTCGTGTTCGTTTCAAAACTTACGATGGCCTATTTCTATTCTCAAGAAATTCTCAGCAATATTATAATTTGCGTTGTGTCGAAGAATTTCATTTAAAAATCGAAAAATTACACACTAATTTTACAAACCATGGTCTTGATTCTGTATTAAAATCTACACCAGTAGTTTGTTACCATCATAGTGTGGAACCATTGGGGTTACCTGTATCTTTCTAATTTGTTATAGTACAATTCTTATGTTATAAATCTACCTTTGTGTAGATGTAAAATTATAAAAAAAATTATCAGTGATGTAGCAATTAGTAGAGGTTTGATGAATTTCAAATTAAAAAAATGTTATTTGACATTAAAGAGAATTCTTGTTTGCAGATTTAGATGAACTATTTTTGAGTAAAATGTTGGGCCTTAGTATTTTTTTTACAAAATGCACGGCTTATGAGGAAAAAGCCATAAATAAAAGTCAAGTATGTTGATGTAATTTTATAATTTCTTAACAATTAAAGCTATACAGATTCGGAAAGTCTCCATGGTACATCGGCCGTTACTTGAGAGCGATAAAGTAAGTCATAGAAATCCGTGCGATAGACAAGGATGGTTACATTGAAGACGTTTCATAATCTGAATAGTCACTCCCACTTCTAACCCGAAACGGGCGGTGACTATTCAGATTGTGAAACGTCTTCACTATAGCCATCGTTGTCTATCGCACGGATTTCTTTACTTTACTTTGTCGCTCTCATGTAAAGGCAGATGGACGATGTGGATTTTCCAGCCCTGTATAATTATATAAAGAATCTACGGGGTTGGAAAGTACCCATGGTCCATCTGCCATTACGCGAGAGCGATAAATTAAGTCATAGAAATCCATGCGATAGAGAAAGATGGCTATAATGAAGGCGTCTAATAGTCACCGCCCATTTCGCCCTTCCACAAATAAGAAGTGGATCTTATTTGTGGAAGGGCGAAACGGGCGGTGACTATGAGACGCCTTCATTATAGCCATCCTTCTCTATCGCATGGATTTCTATGTCTTACTTTATCGCTCTCACGTAACGGCAGATGGACCATCGGTACTTTCCGAACCTGTATGTGTATATGTGGCTCTACCGTTGATTCGTAAATAAACGCATATTTGTGCAAAACTTTTAAGTTCTTCCGGTTCTTACCACGTCTAGCTTTGTCGTAAATTTCGGATTTTTATCCATGAATTCATGATTTTATGAAAAGTTTTATCTAGAAATGGTCGATGAAAGAAGATTCGTTGCGGTGTCAAATAATTTTTTTTACATTTGAAATCGCTCAGATCTCTTCAAATTGTAACGCCACTGGTTAGTTATTTATTAATTTTCACAA